TCCTGTGTGGGACACCCAGCACTGACTGCTGCTGGGATGGACATTTAGAGAATGAATGGGCCAAATTTGGGGCTGCTGACCCTCCTGTGTGGGACCCCCAGCACTGACTGCTGCAGCCTGGGATGGATATTCAGAGAATGAATGGGCCAAATTTGGGCTACTGACCCCTCTTGTGTGGGACCCCCAGCACTGACTGCTGCTGGGATGGACATTTAGAGAATGAACGGGCCAAATTTGGGGGCTGCTGACCCCTCCTGTCTGGGACCCCCAGCACTGACTGCTGACACCTGGGATGGACATTCAGACAATGAATGGGCCAAATTTGGGGCTGCTGACCCCTCCTGTGAGGGATATCCAGCACTGACTGCTGCAGCCAGGGATGGACACTCAGAGAATGAATGGGCCAAATCTGGGGCTGCTGACCCTCCTGTGTGGGACCCCCAGCACTGACTGCTGACACCTGGGATGGACAATTCAGAATGAATGGGCCAAATTTGGGGCTGCTGACCCCTCCTGTTTGGGATCTCCAGCACTGACTGCTGCAGCCTGGGATGGACACCCAGAGAATGAATGGGCCAAATTGGGGCAATGACCCCTCCTGTCTGGGATGGGCATTCATAGAATGAACGGGCCAAATTTGGGGCTGCTGACCCTCCTCACACTTAACTGCTGTTCTGGCATTGCTGACCCTCCTCACACATTAACTGCAGTTTGTGGCACTGCTGACCCTCCTCACACAAGTAAGTTCAGTTTGCACACACTGCAGCCCCCCTTCCACAGGTAATTGTAGTTTTCTTTCATTGCAGGCCCTCCTCACACATTAACTCCAGTTTGCACACATTTCAGCCCCTCCTCACACAGGTAACTGCAGTTTTCTTTCATTTCAGCCCCTCCTCACACATTACCTGCAGTTTGCTCACATTTCAGCCCCTCCTCACACATTACCTGCAGTTTGCACACATTGCAGCCCCTCCTCACACATAACTGCAGTTTTCTTTCATTGCAGGCCCTCCTCATACATTAACTCCAGTTTGCTCACATTGCAGCCCCTCCTCACACATTACCTGCAGATTGTACACATTTCAGCTCCTCCTCACACATAACTGCAGTTTTCTTTCATTTCAGCCCCTCCTCACACATTAACTCCAGTTTGTACACATTTCAGCCCCTCCTCACCCAGGTAACTGCAGTTTTTTTTCATTTCAGCCCCTCCTCACACAGGTAAGGCAGTTTTCTTTCACTGCAGCCCCTCCTCACACATTACCTGCAGTTTTCTTTCATTTCAGCCCCTCCTCACACATTAACTCCAGTTTGCACACATCTCAGCCCCTCCTCACACAGGTAACTGCAGTTTGTACACATTTCAGCCCCTCCTCACACAGGTAACTGCAGTTTTTTTTCATTTCAGCCCCTCCTCACCCAGGTAACTCCAGTTTGTTTCTCACACTACAGCCAGCAGCCCTGGCTGCTGAACACACCACTACCCAGCACTACTACCAGAGAAAAATTGCTCCTGACAGCAGTAATTAGTTAAGTAGCTGTATAAAATTAGAACTACAAATGTACCAATTTGCTTCAGAGTAATTATCAAAGCAAATGYGCGGCACAAAAGAACTTGACTTGCTCTGCTGGCTGGGACCTGCTGAGTTGGTAAATTTTATAAAGCCACAGATAAATGTTAGGATGGGATGAAGTGCCCTTGGTGATGTGGCACTCTCATCGTGGCTTGGACTCTTCTCTCTTTGGTCTCTGCATCCCTCGGAACTCAATTCTATGCCCAGGAATGACCCTGGCACCATCAGGACTTTTACCAACACTCACCCTGCCTGCACCATCCGAGCTTGCCTTGCTCCTCTCTGCCCTCCATCCCATAGAGGGATTGGCTCAATAATCCATCAGAAAACAATTCTTTCACTTCTTTATGAAATTTACTGCACWCCTTCACTTTTACTGCTGCTCAAATCTTTCCCAGACATGTAACAGACTGATAAAAGTGGTGACTTTCCAGCTGCTTCTGACATTCACTTTAATGGGGAAAGTTTTCCAGGAGTTACTACAGAAACTTTGGATAGTTCTTAAAGGAGAACAYCCGTGGATCTGCAGTTGCTGAATTCAGTATTACAATCAACCGTGGAAGATCTTCTAATTGGAAAAAAAGAGCTATAAATCATTCATTTTTGCACTAGGTGATATTAGCAAAAATATCAATACCTATAAGATTCAAAATGGCCACAAAGATTTTCAACTGAAAATCTCATTATTAATTCAAATTATATCTCAATCTGAGTGTTGCAAAGAATTTTCATTCTAAAACAAAAATCTCACTTGATTAGAATTCTTTTATTCRTCACCAGTTTCCCAAGAAATCCTTTAATTTATCATTAAAATTTTAAGGTGGTTTTATAATTAGTTCTCTTTAAAAAATACACTGTGCAATTCCTGCTGGTACCTATGAAACACTGAATAATTGAAATGAACTCTACCAACTCATTTGCAACACATCATTCATCTCATTTTAGTCATTCTTTTATTACATTTCGTTCCCCAAAAAGGGCACTACAACTCCTTAGAAAGAACAAAGGAAATCACTCAGCACCAACTCCAGCCCTTTACACTTTTATCAATGTTCAATGTCTTACTGTAGAAATGGAACAATCCTATAACATCTCAGCACAATTATAAATAAGACAGCCCTACAGAACACTACTCAGAATGAMTTAAAGTCAGTTAGCCATGAAGGAAACTAATATTTTGGTTTTATATTCAAAACTTGGCAGTAGCTAAGCTCATAAAAATAAGCTTATCCCATTAAAATATTCTTGATTGTACAATTACACGGAAGGAGTAATCCTTAACCTAGATCTGATTTATAACTCATATGACTTGTTTTAAATGAGGGCATTGAACTAGTGCACATAACCAAAATCCAGTTTGTGAAGACTCTTACAGGCTCTTCACATGAAAGAAATAGCAAAGCAAAATGTAAAAGCTTTACCTAAATTCATATGAAAAAGCCCCAGTACWGCACAGCAATATTTTCAACCAAATGTTTCTCCACCAGCAAAACATGCTGTACTTTGGTTAAAATCACCACACTGATTACACCTACTTTTTTTCACCAATCAATTCAAGGTATTTTATAAATAGATCAAACCATATTTCAAAAGTTCAGGTTATCTAAAAATAATGACAATTTCCCACCCATTAATTGCAAAGTGGGTCACACAAAAAAGCAGCTGAGACCCACCAGTAATGAAACCCAACCCGCCCAAGTCTAACCAAGGCGTGGCAGAGAACTTCTCTTCCTGTGAGAGTCAGAGCCCTCACAGCTCAGGGGTTCACCTTTCATATTTCAGAAAGCAGAAATTCCCAACTTCACAAATAGCASACAGCCCAAGCCAAGTTTAAAAAAGGAAAAAAAAAACCAAACCAAAACATGACATTCTCGGGTCAGGTTGTTCACTCAAATTCACTGTAAGAATACAGCTCCCCATAGGCAGCTTGTACCTGTGCATCAGGTACA